AGTTCGAATGGCTTGGCAGAACGTTTCGTTCAGTCCCTAAAGACTACCGTGAAGAAAGATTTAAATGCTGGAAACCTGCAGGCTAGCCTTGGCAGCTTCTTGCTTGTTTATCGGAATACACCCCACGCTACCACGAAAGAAGCGCCGGCTAACCTTATGTTTCGGTCACCGTCTTCCTTTCAAACTGGACATTCTCAAGCCAGAATTAAAAGAATTAGTTCGCCACCAGCAATTAATTCAGTCCAGTCTATGCAGCTTCAAAACCCGACAGTTTGCTGTAGGCGACGGTGTTCTTGTTCAAAATTATAGGTGACCACCCAGATGGCTTCAGGGTACTGTAGTGCGGCAGAAAAGACCTGTTTCGTAAGCCATAAAGTACACACGCCACGGGGCCTGGCCGTGTAGCATAGTCACCAAGATCAGCTTTTCTTGGGTGCAGCTGACGTCTCCGATGGTGAGGAGAACAAAGAAACCTTCTGGGAGTTCTCGGATGCCAGTGTGGAGACTGCTACGGCAGCGCCCGCCGCCTCCGAGACAGCACCATCAGTACGAAGATATCCAGTGCGCAGTCGACGAGCGCCCGATCGCTACACGCCATCTTAATGTTGTGAAACTGTACCTCTCCACAATTTAAGTGGGAGGAAATGTCATGTATGCGATAGCGCCATGTATTGTCGATAGAGTGACCAGCCCAGCTGCCAGTAATCATGTGACCCGACTGCGATCGGTATAAAGCTGCATGTCTAGGCTGCCGCCCTGCCTCACCCTTTTCATTTGCTGTGTTACCGTCGTACTTGCGACAATATATAGCAATAAATCGTTTTGCTACTCTATGTTCGTCTCCGAACATTGGACATCACAAATACTGTTCAAAAGTGGTGGTGCCTTAGTACCAGATTGTGATACAGGTGCTCCACTTAACAGTGCTTCGATAACATCTGGTGAGCAGTTTGTTCCTCTCGGTGGTTTTGCCAGGTTATATAATGACTTTAAGTCAACAGTAACAAGATACTGTGACACGGTAGGATGATCATTACAACCTGATGCCTGCCTTATGATGTCAAAAAGATTTTCTAGTTTGTCCTGACTTAGACGTGATGTGAAGAGCTAGTTGTAACCAGCAGTGGAATTAGGATAAGATAGCAGGTATAACGTACTTCTGATCGTAACCCTTCAGTGCTTTTGTACTCGTGTTTGAGGCCATTTTTCGAATAAGTCGATTCAATCGCTTGATGAATTCATCTGTTGGTTGCACATTTGTATACACGGAATCTATACACTTCCTATGCACATAGAGCCCTTTGACCGCTTGATCCCCAAAAAGTAGGAGCGCTAAATCTATTCTCAAATTTTCGAAAGCATTCGGCTTCAGGTGTGCATTCATTATGTTTGGCATAGCTTTTAGTGTGACATTTTCATGGTGGGACTCCCAAGCTCTTTCGATAATGCCACAGTGAACGCGGCCAGACGGAGTCGGGTAACCCTCAGATAAAAAAACCATTGCGCAAATTTTTCAGAAGATGCAGAAATTCTGAGACAAAGAAAAGCTGTCTTTAGGGGTCCAGAGGGTGCTTCGTGCTGCTTCTCAGATGACTAGCAGAACCTATTAAAACATATATTTTGTACATTAGTTAAGTACAAAATGATTGAAAACAGAGCTTTTAAAAAGCCAGCGTCAGATGGACACTATTTAGGCTAAACTACAGACTTTTAACGTTAAGTAATAGAGCAGCACATTTAATCACTGCAGCAGCAGTGCATGAAATTTCAGATTTTGAATATATTGGTAAGAAAATAAAAGAATACACCATTGTTTGCTAATAAATTATTTTGACCTACAATTCATACACACTTTAAGCGCTTCTATATTTGAGGCGCTTAAAATCAAGAGAGCTTTTTGGATGACTACTGGCAGAATTCGAGTAACTAAAGCCTTGCTTTTAAGCTGTCCACTGCCTGGCTGACATTACTAATAAAAAAATGATGTTAATAATTTGCTCATCGCGTATGCCAAAGATCTGCCACATGCTTCTGTTCCAGCTGGCGCCGTCAGAAGTCGCGGAGGCGACATACAAGCCCGCTTGTTCAGCCAAGATGGTGCATTCGACTATAATTTTTGCAAGTGTGGCTGCCTTCACACTGCCTCTTGAGGAAAACACGCCAAGTATTTGTGCCCAGCTCCCTAAAGAAATGGGCGAGACCAATGATGATCTAGGATTACAGTGTTGATGGTGTTATATTTTTGACAGTAAACTTTTTAAACAACTTACCAGTGTAGGGTTGAAACAGCAAAACCATCCCATCGTCTGCAAGCACACCCTTGTAAATACTGGTTTTGTAGTCCCCAAAATCCACGAAGCCCGCGATATCTCCTGAATTATTAAAAAAATACATTACACCTCATGCAGCACGTAGGCTGTGAAAATGTAGCAAGTGAAATACAATCTTGCTTTTCAACGTGCATTATCGAAATAATGTGAAGTTAGAACAATCTAACGGTAGTAATAGTGCGGAGCTCACCAGCTGCCTTCACGTTGAGATGTTCCGAAAGTTTAATCTCGTCCACAAGCAGGCTCCATCACCACTGAAGGTGTCCATGCTTTAGGTCTTTTCGCTTAAGCCTCAAATACTAGCGTTCTATCCAAAGCCATCCTTGAATCGGTGCAGATACTTCTGCAAGCGAATTCTTCCAGGCAGAACCATAATACTTTGCTTCCAAATAGGCTCATAGAGCTTTGGGCTCCGCGTTCTCATTAGCAAGCATTCAACAACCGATTCATCATCATAGGTCATGCCTTTGAGAGTCTTTCGTCTTGCAGCCAGAAAACAAGTTCTCACAGCTAGCTGTTCTTTCTTCAGGAGTGACTGTATATTAGCCTCTAGAGCTTCTTCTTTTAGTGCATTGTTTTGATCCTTCATTTGAGTCACTTGCTGCTGAACATTGGCCAAGCTCTTTTGTGTCCTTCTCAAAGCACGAGAAAGTTTCTTGCACTTAGTTTTGTCAGGGCACAGATCTGTCGTCTTTTTTCTCCTGTACATGTTGTTCTGCGATAGCTTTCGTAAACATTTCCATTGGAAGCACGACTTTACTTTTCCATCACTAGTCAGCAAGCACTTCTCTGCAAAGTGCATACCTTTGTATGAAGTGTACTTGCCTGCAACAGATATCATGCCACATTCATTGCAGAGGTCAGGCAGAGCAACTTTTTTGATGAGTGGCTCTGCCATATGGCGGGCTGTGAGCAAGTGCTTTTCCTTTTTCTTTCCTCGGTAGTAAACTGTGGCAACTACAGTGCCGTGCTCTCGCGAAGGTTTTCCAAAAGTCAACATTCTATCGATAAAAAGTTTTGAGAAGTCACCAGCTTCGTTCTCGCAACAGACGCTTAGCATATAGATGCACACGAAAATGCTTGCGCCAGTGTGCCGTTCATTTATCTTTGTAAAGTCGTGATCAGTTACTTGTCAAAATCACGACAAACTCTTTTGCTGATGCATGTAGCGTGAAGACTTCTTCTCCTTATTAGCACGTTCTTGGTGTTGTTCCGTGCAAAGATTCTACATATATTACATATCCCAGCAACAAAACAAAGGTTTTTAGGTCAGTGCCCTTGTCTGTCGTTTTTCAATCGACCCACACATATCCATGCAGATCATAGCCCAGCGCTGTTTTTGCCATCGTAATCATCTACCAACCAGCCGAGTTACCGGCACTCCAAACAAACAATCGTAAACCACGAGGCAAGCACGTTATGGCACGCAATCACAACAGTCTTGTGTGTTTAGGTGGTAACGTGATCGAAAATTCGGTTTCGGCTGAAGTGCGAGGCGATGAATGCGATAGCAACAAATTGGAATGCCACGCGAGGAATAGCAAGCAGATTGAAGTGCACTGCTCACGCGCATATGACGCACAAAAACAATATGCACGAGACAAGAGCGAACTAACCACGTTGGCAGTTTGACGCCTAAATGCTGCTCAAACAAAAAAACATGACGCACAAAACGTACTCACACGTACAGACGAGTGTGAACAAGTGTTACAGTAGTTACTTCGCTGCGTTTGAAAAGCGGGCTCTTTTCGCAAACGGGGACTCTGCAGCCAGTGAATGGACGTTTATAAGTTCAGTAACTTGGACGCAATCATTCCGGTTAAAGCCCAGGACATACAATGCTCTCGCGAGATAAGCGCACGCGCCTATGTTGTGTACCCCCTCGGGACAAAGTACACGTGGGAGACGAGTGTGCGTTGTGACGAGCGGGACGCCAAGGGCACCCTTTGTGCCATCACGCTTATAATGCTGAGAACGTGCAGATACTACTTCCCAAATTGGCGTAACGCCGGGCCAGCCCTCCGCCTCTTTAGGCCCGCACTCCGCAGTCCCTGCCGGCGCCGTCGAAGCTCACTACACCGGGCAAGCGCACAGGGCTAGCACGCTGAACAAAACGGACAGCGCGATCACAGGTTCCCCTAGACGCACCCGTCGCAAACTAACTCACTTGGTTGTTTCCGCCACCGAGCGCAACAGATGCTCTCCCCACCCACTCGCTACACTACCGCATTCATGAGAGCCAGCCGCGAGATCAGGCGCATGTTAATTTCGGTTCCCTTTGTATGGAGCTTCGCTCATCGGTTTTATTTGTACATAAAACAAGTGTTAGTTTGTTAATTTCTTTCTCTAAGGACTTTTATTATTATAGTGATACATGCGCTGCACATGATGACGACGCAAAAACCAGCCGAGACTATTAAAATTGCTATCACATTGAAACAGCAGCTGGGACTGTAGAAGTCAGCTGAGACGCGCTCGCCAATCGTCGGCAGCGTGACCCAGCAGCCAGAAACTTTGCTCTGTGTAGCGGTCATGGTAGTTCTCTGCACTCTCTCGAAGCTCTTCATCTGTGTGGCGCTGAGCGTAAGAAGTCTTGAGCTAAACATGTACACTAAATAGTTGTACGAAGCTGTGCAACTCATGCGAATCGCAGACGCTGTGTCCTTGCAGCTCCGCCGAGGTCGAGCACTCCAGTGACCTCGGTGTCCGACTACAGCACGAGCCACACAGTACCAGCGATCAAGCGGCTCCGAACGGATAAGGTCGCCTCCGTTCTACCTCAAGTTCTTGCAGACGCTGCAGCCTCAATGGAAGCGTCTTCCACTCCTGTCCATCGGTTGGTTTTACTTGGCTTAACAACAAATTGGTGACCCATTCGTATTGTGATAGATATGTATGACTTTCACTTGAAACACGCTTTACGAGCCTGAGTTGTTGTTTGGTTGTGTCTTTTTGAGAGGTACGGACATGTCCTTAAAAGAACAGCGCCTTTAATGGATGGTTGATCAAAAGTAGGCGTCCGTCAGGTTTTAGAAAGTGTTAACGTACAATGGTCATTGTGGAAATACATACAGAAGGCCGGTCTTTTACTTGAATCGTTTATCCCACGAAAAAAAGAGCTCTGCGTTCTGTTGTAGACCTTTTGTCTAGCTTACCTAGCGCCTGCATTTCACGTGTATTATCTAAATATAAAAAGGTGAAAATCTCGTGCTCTACTAATACGCCTCATTTATGTCATTTATAAGTCTGCTACTGTAAAAGCTAGACTGTGTTTGTGTAAGTAGTGGAGCTAATCTAAAGACACATTCATTACGCACATATATTATTACTCAGAACACCGCTATGTCATGTGATCGCGAACTATGACTTCGAACCAGTAGCCGGTTGATTGCTTAACTTCAAGATTTGTTAAGTGTGTTGACTTTCTAAAACATCTACTTTCATTATCCTTTGTTAACCGTTTTCGAATATATCTTTGTATAACCCTTTTTATTATAGTACATATCATGAGTACATATCACTTAAAGTATGACTAAATATATTTCGCATTTGCCGTCTTGTATCAGCAATGAACCCGGGGATGTGGGGTGTTTTCAGGCTGTTCAATGCAGCCATTCTCCACCGTTGAAACCACTTTGTGATTCTATGTGCTTCACAAGCAAATTCATACTAAAAAAAAAACCATCCCAGAAGTCTGTTGCTTTTACACCACGGCTGCATGCTTTAAGAGGTTCGATAAAATGGCCCTCATTGTGTTTTGCTACTACAGAAAGCACGCTGACACAAGCGCCGATGTTGTTTATCAGACGAAATGAAACACCGTTTATATTCAGTGCTAGAAAGCCAGCTTATGCGTTTGGGGCCCGCTGTCTACTTAAAAAAAAGTATACCAGACTCTTTTCGGATAGTTTTGACTTGACCCGTATACGACCCTCTCCAGACAGACAGGGTCACTCTCTTGGTGGATCAGAGTCAGCGCGCTCTAGAAGAGTGCCCTAGCTGACCATCTTAGGAAGTATGAAATGACTCTATCGCGAAGGATCACACTGCTACTTCTTGGGGAGTCAGGCGACTCTTGCCAGTGGCGCTCCTACGTAGGTCAAGTGACTCCACGGCTATTTTAAGCTACTCTATTGACCCATGTTCTACTTTGCGCGACTACTGCTCAAAATAGTGAAGCATTTTTTAACCAACTATACAGTAATATTTTTCGTGGTGGCCAGCAACTGCATAAAAATTGTAGTTCAAATTTAGCATTATTTATTAACATTTGCGTAAAACAATTTCCAGCAGAGTAATACAAAAAGCCCAATAAAATGGTGTGTGAATTTCAATGAGGTTATTCTCATTTACATGCTTCTATTTGTATAGCCAGCTAAAATAGGTGTGATGTACGTATTAAAGTCAAGTCAAACAAAAAAACTGCAGACATGACCATTAGGGTTCCATGTTTATTCCCTTTGATTATAAATAAACCAATGTCATGAAGGATGAAGAAATCAAACTTGTGGCTTGCTGGCTTGCTATGTTGCCGCTCATGTTCAGCATGAGCCGCCATGAAAAAGGGAACCTGGAAAGGAAGACGTGATATCAAGTTGAGAAACAGAATTGTAAAAAGTTGGCAAAACCTACAAAGTAAGGGATTTCACCTGACATAGAGCAGGCTCACAACACAACAAATGCAAACCACCACTGTAAACAGAATATTCGGATAAAGCAAGGTCTCTTCTGAATAATATTGAAAATACGGGTTTTTCAAGCCCTTTAAAAGCACCCTCCCCCGCTTCCGCCCGCCGTACCGAAAAATAGTCCTGGCTCCGGGCCGAGAGGAGGATCTGCTCCTCTGTGGGCTGTTAAGTACAAAAGCCGACGTCGTAGCCTTGGTGGTGCAATTTTTAGGGGGCTACGCGCACTAACACCAGCCCAGAGAGGGCTATGGCGGCGCCCAGGATGCGTTCAGTGAAAGTGTGTATAGACACTGGTAGGCACGGGTCAAAGCAATATTTTGGTAAATTGCCTTGCTTCGGCAAATTGCGCTCTTTTGGTAAATCCGAATAAGGCTTCGTCATATTTCGACAACGAAGCCCATTCTCTGGCAGTAAGGGGCACGCTGTGATTGATTATTGACTGCGGGATTTACAAACGTAACCTGCCCCCAAATTAAAAAAAAAAAACTGATTTGAGCGCAAACGCACGCCACATTAACGTACACACACACCGAGGCATCTAACACGCTTAGAGCTGAACAGGGGCGCTATATTATTACCATATTTGTTCATGCTTTTATTCTGATGTGACTTGTTGATGCACTTTGGAAGTGTCCTTCGTGTCCTTTTTGTCTCTGTGTCGTCGTTCTGTTCTCGCGCTATAACTATCGTGATGTCATACCAATTAGCCCAAGCTGCCACACTTGTTGATGCAGTTACGAATGGGAACGAGGAAACTGTTTATGTACCGATCAAAGCATTTGCTGCTTCCGGAAAGTAATTTTCTTCTAAAAGGATATACCATCATCGCTTCTCTGTCGAAGCTGATCGATCGATTGATATGGGGGGGTTGACGTCCCAAAACCACCATTTGATTATGAGAGACGCCGTAGTGGAGGGCTCCGGAAATTCTGACCACCTGGGGTTCTTTAACGTGCACCCAAACCTGAGGACATGGGCCTACAACATTTCCGCCTCCATAGGAAATGCAGCCACCACAGCCGGGATTCGAACCCGTGACCTGCGGGTCAGCAGCCGACCTGTCGAAGCTGTTGCGAGTCAATGAGTGTGATGAGTGGTTTTTGATGTTTGAGCTTTTCCGTACTGAAAGGCCAAAAAATCTTTCCGCTTTAGTCTATGACAAACCTGATCAGCCTTATGGTTACTTCAAGCCATAGCGGCAGCTTGCAAAGTGGCCAAGATTAAAACAGTGGACTCGAGCTCAGTAGGAAGCTCAGATTTTAAGCTTGCCCTACAACTTCCCTTACAACTTAAGAAGGTTAAATACCATGGTTGTTAGCACAATGGAGGCTTAATCGATTTAGTTGGTTGGTTTTCACTTAACTTAAATTGTCCTCTTCAACTCTAAATTCAACTCGGACAGCATAGAAGCACACACGTGCAGCGCTTCTTATTTCTACTTCTTTTTTCTCAGCAAGTATGAGCTCAGAGAGAAGTATACGCATACAAACTACTAAACACCATTATGCTGCAAGTGGAAATATTTCATTAAACTCATAATCCCTCTCGCCAGCTGCTATATGTAGCCGCTGCCTATGTGAATGAGAGCTAGCCTACTTGAATTACATTTAAAGGAGATGTTCTCCGCCTTCGTGACGCCATATATCAAGCAGCGATTTTGTGGCCCACAGAAAATTTTAAATGCCGAGGAACCAGTGGCAAACAATATGCCATATCTAAAATAGTTTATTATCTTATTTTTTTATGTGGTCGTGCGTAAGTGAGTATTTTCCCGTCATTTGTTGCCTCGCGTAACAAGCTGGTGCTGTGTGCATGACAAAGAGTGTTCACACCAATATTCCCTCAAGACTCCCCTTAAGCTACTCAGTGCAACTTTTTTTCCTGGTCTCCTCACAACGTTGTTGTGCAATGAACTCAGTTCAATTCAATATACAGCCAACGACAATTTTGAAAGGAAGCAACGAGAGATAGTTTGACGTTATAATCATCCATATTTTGTTCTTCAAAGGAAAGTTTTGTTTATATCGTTTGTATCAACTTACGCAGGCGCCTGGAGCCCGTTAAGAACTTTTCATACAAATACCCTGAATGTAAAAAATGTACCATGCCTCCAACTTCTCAAATTATACATTTAAAAAGCCTGAGAAGTTGATAATAGGTTAAATACAGTAATATAAGTAAGCATGGAGCACAGAATCAAACGATTTCTAAAAGTCCAGAAATATGCAGTCCGTCTGCTCCCCAAGGTCAAATGAGCGAAAAAGATCTTGACTGAATTGAGTGAGTTCTGTTGAACAAGAGCAGATAGAAATTCATCATGAGATTCGGTACAAAAAACCTTTACTTTCTAGATGATTTACTTTAATGCTCTATAGTATGTGTTCCTATATTTTGCTGCACATGCTCGTTAGAGAAATGGGCCTGTAGTTGGAGACAATATATTGCCACGAACGTAATAACAGAGAGCGACGAAACGACGTCTTGCTTGCCCTCAGACCAGGACGCAAAAGCCCTCTTCTTTCTTCACTTCCCAAGGATTCCACCTACAGTTGATGGCTCATACCCATTACCTGTGACATTACTCCCTCTCCTCGAAAAGCATCGACTCGATGCTGGTAATGAGCGTTGAGAAAAAAATGCGAAAGAAAAGATGCTACCATGGAACCCAACGACTCCGTCGTAAGGGGAAAAAATGGGCTGGCGTCGTAGAAGAACTCAGTAAAGAAAGGAGTAAGTACACAAGACAATAAAAAAAACCAAAGTGGCAAAAAAATAGTCATTGCATGGTAAGTTACTGCACGTTCGATGGATGACGCGAGAAATATGGCTTGAGTCTTGACACGTGCACCACATCACTTGGTGGAAACTGACGGGAACTTCTTGAGGTGCCCTCAGGGAGAACTTCATACGTAACGTCGCTGAGTCGGCGCAGAACTTTGTAAGGGCCGAAGTAGCGCCGAAGCAACTTCTCAGAGTGACCACGCTGTCGGATGGGAGTCCACACCCAAACTTCATCGCCTGGTTGGAAGGTAACCTCTCGGTGTTTAAGGTTGTAGCGGTGTGCGTCGGCAGTTTTGCGAGCCTGAATACGGCATCGGGCGAGTTGACGGGCCTCCTCGGCGCGTTGAGCGAACAATGCAGCGTCCGTGTTGAACATGCTCAAGTTGTTGGGAAGGAGCATTGCGTCGAGCATTGTGGTGACCTCTCGACCATGAACTAAGCGAAATGGGGTGAAACCTGTA